AATTTCTCGAAAGATCTGAAGGCACAATTTTGTCATAAACTATTCATAACTCACAATCTAAGATCATATAGATAATTAACACGAAATATCATATATATATTATTATTTTTTTTTTATTCATTACCTATGATCTAATTTTAATAATGAATTCCTAACCACAGGCGTATTTTTTTCTTTTTTTTCATTAACTAATTTTTTTTATAAATATATATTTTTTTTTATCATAACTAACTCATCTTCATAGACAAAAGCATTTCATAAACAACTTTAGAAAGGCGTTCTTTTTATTTCGAACCGTCACGAAGACCCCAGAAGGTTATTAACGGATCAAAGTTAATATCTTGCCGACCAATTATCGTAATTTATGGTGAATGGGTCATTAAGGCGTTTCCTTGCCAAAGGAACTTTCCGGAACTTGGTCAAGTAAGTGGAAATGTTTTGGATTCTCTCTTTCTTTCTTTCTTTCTCTCCTTTCTCGCTCTCGCTCTCGCTCGCTCTCGCTCTCTCTCTCTCTCTCTCTCTCTCTCTCTCTCTCTCTCTCTCTCTCTCTCTCTCTCGCTCTCGCTCTCTCCTCTCTCTCTCTCTCTCTCTCTCTCTCTTCTCTCTCTCTCTCTTCTCTCTCTCTCTCTCTCTCTCTCTCTCTCTCTCTCTCTCTCTCCTCTCTCCTCTCTCCCTCTCTCCTCTCTCTCGCTGGCTAGTTCTTATTCCTCCTTTTCTCTCTCTCTTTCTTTCTTTCTTTCTTTCTCGTTCTCTCCTCTCTCTCTCGCTGGCTAGTTTTTATTCTTCTCTCTCTCTCTCTATCTTTCCTTTCTTCCTTGTGTGTGGTGTGTGTACATGTGTGTGTGTGTGTGTGTGTGTACATGTGTGTGTGTGTGTGTGTGGTGTGTGTGTGTGTGTGTGTGTACATATATATATAAATATATATATATATATAATATATATATATATATATATATATATATATATATATTATATATATAAATATATGTATATGTGTGTATATAGATGATAGATAGTAGATGGAGATAGATGGTAGATGATGTGATGTGATGTGTGATGTATGTGTATGTGTGTGTGTATGTATGTATATATGTATACAAGTATACATTTAATAGTCTTTATCATCAGCATTCTAACAATGGCTTGAATATTTGCTGATATCATTATAATTTTATCATTCTTATCATTACAACAAATAGACTGAGTGAAAAAGTCCTTTCTCATATTCGTCTCCTTGACAAACACTGAACGAATACAAAGAGAAAGCAAGACCCAAGAAAAATATGTAAAAAAAAAAAAAACAAAAAATATAATAAAGCGAGTAATGATAAAAAAAATATGTAAGAAAAAAAATGTAAAATGCAGGAGTAGTGATAATCGTAAAGGACAACAGCTTTCGATGAATTTGTGAATCAAAAGCATGCCTGTTCTGCCCTGGGGGTGTTCACTGAAAATTAGATTGCTTAGGATCCAGCATAAAAAAAGGACAATGGATTTTCTCCAGATGCAAAAGGGAATGATAGAGTGCCGATGGAGGGGAGGGGAAGGAGGGGAAGAGAGAAAGGGAGAGGGAGAGAGAGAGTTCAACATAAAGACAAGCGGACGGACAGGCTGAGATACAAAGAGAATGCGAGATAGACAACGAGAACTGAGAGAGAGAGAGAGAGAATGCGAGATAGAGAGCGAGAGAGAGGCAGACAGGCTGACAGATAAACAGACAGGGAAACGGACGAACAGGCAGACAGACAGAGAGAATGCGAGATAGTGAACGAGATTTGCGAGAGAAAGAGAGAGAGATGGAAAGCGAGAGAGAGGGAGGAGGGAGGGATGAAGAGACAGGCAGACAGACAGAAAATGCGAGATAGAGACAGACAGCCAGACAGAAAGAGAAACAGACAGACAGCCAAACACACAAACAAACAGACATAGAGAAGAAAATATAAATAAAGAGAGAGAGATGAAATTATAAACCTTATCAAACGCAGCTTTATCTCTCTCTCTCTCTCTCTCTCTCTCTCTCTCTCTCTCTCTCTCTCTCTCTCTCTCTCTCTCTCTATATATATATATATATAATATATATATATATATATATATATAATATATATATATATATATATATATATTATCATGAATATTCATTGAAATATTTGTACGTGCATAGACACATTGATTGATAGATTCATCAAGTACATCACTAATAGGTAGATAAATAGATAGGTCGTCACATATAGATATCAGTGCGTGCGTATGGCTGTGTCCCCGCATTCTGTTTGTTAATGCGACTAATTAACTGTATTTCATGATCATAAATTATATTTATCTGGAAGGCAATATTTGATAATATTTCTGACGTTGAACCTTATCAGCCATATCATCATCTTCATTATCACCCTTATCATATCATCATCATATCATCATATCATCATCATCATCACCATCATTATCATTGTCATAATCAATATCATCACCATCATCATCATTATTGATATTATGATTATAT